TTAGATATGCTCGGATGTAAAATTCTAGAAATGAAATATGTGATACCAGAGACCAAAGCCAATCCCAAATCCAGCAAGCCAGGTGGTGTTGCTGGCCTAGCCCAGCTCTGCCACCCGTAGGAAGTGCATCAAAGGGATTAAAGAGATTGAAACAAATAAATGCACCTCTTATTTAGCATGTCAATCACCACCGAGTTGTGCCCTTAGCTATTCTTAATTTGAGAGTTTCTATATGAATTTGATGAAAAAAATAGAAATGTACCGTAGCCGCTGGGCCAATGTTGAGAAAGATGAAGAATTGTTGATTGTACTCCTGCAACAACGACCTTCACCTTTACCTCTCCCTCAAGATGCGTTGTTCCTAATGGTCTGTCCGTCATCTCTGTTTTCATTCTGGTCGATAGAGTACTCCCTCTCTTTTCCCTCTCCGATCTGCGCTGTGTGAAGCGCGGCTGCTAGAAGAAGCCTTCGACAATACCCCTCCTAGAATCCATCACAGTTCCTCCTCTGTCGCCGATGCTCGACCGCCGCTGTGTCGTCACTGCAACCCATCTGATTGAAAAGTCAATCTCCCGTAGTTCTCTCTCTATGTCTTGTTGCTTGGGATGTGCCTTAGGTTTATCTCCGTGTACTCCAAAATGACATGCGAAATCCCAGACCAGAATCACCAGTACTCCAAAGCTTCTCTCGTGTGAAATCCCAGACCAAAATTTCGGGCTTTCAAAAGAAACCCTAGAAACCCGGAAGATGGGTGAGTATGCAAGAAGCAAAGCTTCTCCAGTACTCTAGTACATCTACAGTGAGTGAGTATGCGGGAAGATATTTTATCAGAATGTGCGGTCCAAATCTCACTGTAGCATAAAAAATGGGCAGGTACACTGTAGAAAAATGCATCCTACCATTGTACATAGTAAGATTTGAATTAAAAAAACCTGTCCAAATTGGTGGCTTGGAGTGACGGGCAGAATTCCTCTCGTGGCGGTAATAAAGAACTTTCGCAGCCTTCTTGACCACGTTGGTTACAATATTCGTTCCTCCCAGCGAGGCCATCACGTCAAATATTCTATGAATAGAGCGAATCATCGTTCTTCAGGGAGGAGAAGGAAGAGAAAAACCCTAAAAATAATTTTAAAAGGTTATGTTCTCCGTACCAGTTAATCGGAAATGAAAAATGTGCTTGGTATTCCTCTTCTTCTTTAATTATCAGTTTTTTAATCCTACATGGCATGGCATTTTTACGATGAGTCAGCAGAATAATCTTAGGTGGCATGCCACATGGCGTAACGACAATTAAACCGCTCTACTTTATATATATAAGGCTTTCGGCTTTGGCCCCCCTCTCTAGACAGTCTATCCAACACATACTCATGTAAAGAAGAACAAATATTGGTGTCATTCTCAGTGAACATGAAACTTCCATAACATTCAAACAAATATTGGTGTCATTGTCACTGAACATGAAACCTCTAGAACGTTGAGCATACCAATTGATGACTTCCCATTTAAGGAATTTCCTTTTTTCTATTTCTTCAGTATTATGATCAATTTCATCGATTACACTTTCAATCCAGCCTTCTCAAACCCTAAACCCGTTTGTGAATCAGGTTTCTCCAGTTGGTCTTCTATTTTATATCCCAATTCAAAACACAACCGCAACAGGTTCTCATTGGATGGATTTGCCCCAAAAACTTTTAATCAGATTATGTTATTATTATACTTGGATAATCAAAACACATATAGCACCGAAAGATTCATGAAAACAGTAACAAAGAGCAACGAATTGAAAATCATAATTAAATAATTAAATTTAATTAAGAAAAATAATACTAAACTGCGACCATTCCACTTTCTGATGTTGAGTTGAGGCTGGCAAAGGACTCTATACTCCTGATGCGTCATGAAGGTGTTTCCAATGGAGAAAAATTTAGCAAAGCAATAGGCTAATATGAATACCTCTGCATCCATTCTTGGATAAAATTAAGATTTGAATCTTGATGATTTGCTAGGACTTATTAGGAATTAAAACTAATAAATTCAGTCAATAACCTGGACGCAGAAAAAGAATGAGGGCAGTGGTTCTGTCAAAAGAAGCAGGTAGTTCGGTCTTCCTCTCTAATCGTCCGAATTCTTCCTAGGGTTTTTTTGGAGTTCTTGCTGCTGCTTCGAAGAGACTCTTCAGCGTTTCACCTCCCTGCCATTTCAGTTTTTCGCTCTCTGCTTCGTAGGGGTTGAGCCTTTCCCCAACATCTGATTATTGATTGGTGGCTTGGAGTGACGGGCAGAATTCCTCTCGTGGCGGTAATAAAGAACTTTCGCAGCCTTCTTGAGGACGTTGGTTACAATCTCCCACAGAGGCCATCACGTCAAATATTCGATGAATAGATCTCTAGTCTTTCGTCTTCATCAGAGAGAATTGTCGTTTTTCAGGGAGGAGAAGGAAGAGTAAAACCCTAAAAATAATTTAAAAAGGTTATGTGCTCCGTACCAGTTAATCGGAAATGAAAAATGCGCTTGGTATTCCTCTTCTTCTTTAATTGTCAGTTTTTTAATCCTACATGGCATGGCATTTTTATGATGAGTCAGCAGAATAATCTTAGGTGGCATGCCACATGGCGTAACGATAATTAAACTGCTCTACTTTATATATATAAGGCTTTCGGCTCTGGCCCCCCTCTCTAGACAGTCTATCCAACACATACTCATGTAAAGAAGAACAAATATTGGTGTCATTCTCAGTGAACATGAAACTACCCTAACATTCAAACAAATATTGGTGTCATTCTCACTGAACATGAAACCTCTAGAACGTTGAGAAAATACCAATTGATGACTTCCCATTTAAGGAATTTTCTTTTTTTTATTTCTTCAGTATTATGATTAATTTCATCGATTACACTTTCAATCCAGCCTTCTCAAACCCTAAACCCGTTTGTGAATCAGGTTTCTCCAGTTGGTCTTCTATTTTATATCCCAATTCAAATCACAGCCGCAACAGATTCTCATTGGATGGATTTGCCAAAAAAACTTTTAATTAGATTATTTTATTATTATACTCGGATAATCAAAACACATATAGCAACTGCAAACTCTCAATTGACATCCAAGTATATTATAGAACTATTAATGTCTTAATAGTTTCATTCGAACTTTAAATAAAGCATTTAAATAATGTATTAAAAGCTTCTAAAAAGACCAGTAGATTCAAGAAAGCAGTGAGAAAAACTGAGAAAGAGAAAAATATTACCCATATCTTGAAAGTGTTGAAAGAACATTCCTGGTTAAGGTTTCGTCTTATTTCAACATATGCAGGACAGAACAACAAATTTAGTCTTCCCTTCCAAACACTGTCCCTCCACTTCTTTTCCCTTTATATCCACACGCACTGTCCTGAATATCAGCTAAGAATAATTTACAAATAAAACACCGTCTTCAAATTTCCATATCATTGACTTACTCACTTCTTTCACTAAATATGTTCCTTGAAAAAATTAGAAACTGAGGTGTCAAATGATTAAAAAATAGAAAGAATTGTACAAACTAAAAGATGTTATACATAAGACCTTACTTCTTAATATTGTCCCTCGTGATCAAAACATGTTAGAATCAGAGTCATGGTGCTGGGAAGGGGCCTCGTATTTGATGAATCAGCTGCCAGAATTAGAAATTAAATACTTGTTTATGCTCTAGAATTAGAAATTATAAATTCTCCTCAAGGGATTTTGTTGAACACCTTGAGTGCAAACATTTGTGATAGGATCTAGGATTGATTCAGAACCATTCAAAGCATCAAGGATAGTTGGAATGATATAATGAGCCTGTTCCCGCAGCCATATGGTATTTGCATAAGATTTAAAAAGAAAAACCAAAATGAAGATATCTCTCTACTTCTGGGTATTCTTCATCATCCTTCAACATTATTGTAACATTAATTGCTCATTTGCATTCTCTTCTTCCATAGATGAAGCTGCTCTTCTATCATTGTATGCTCATATGATATATGTCCCTTCTTCACTGGGAACACATTAATATAAGTAAAAGTAAGATTTATGGATTTACCAAAGACATCCATTGCAAACAAAATACAAATTGGAATTGGACAGATATGGTAAAATGTTTACGGTATGAAGTTGGAGAACCTTGGTGGAGAAATTGATCAATTGCTTCTCTCTTGAGCAATTAGTATAGAACCTTGGTGGAGAAGATTCAGCTAATGCTTCACTGTGAACTTCGTTAGTGTGCATTTTGGCCTAAAGTGATTGCCAATTGATGGACTGGTTGGATCCAAGAGAAGCTATTTCCATTTCTGTGCCAAACCTAACTGTCAGTATTTCCCATAAATTACTGCTTGGTCATTAATGAGTCCTTTTTTGTAAATGATAAAACCATTAAACTGTGCCAAAGCAATGTGGTCTCAAAAACAACCCCTTACTAAGATAAGTTTACAGTTGCTCAGACTTGTTATCTATAAAAAAGAATTCAAACCATTTGTTATTTGAGAAGCCTAGTTGTTAAGAAAATTTATTCAAAAAAAAAGAATTGGAGAGGAAAAGTTATGCCTATTGTATTACCTTTTCTGATCCTTCCTGAAGAGGGATGCCTTCTCTACCAACCATATTTGAGTCTTTTTGAACCACCTACATAGGAGGAAACTGTAGCTTCACGGTCCATCAACTTCATTTCTCTCTTTTGCTCATCCATTGACTGAGAAAAATAACAACACCCAAAGAATAACTACATGAAAATGAAGGTTTGAAGACACATTATTCATCAATAACATGATTAAAACTAAGATTCATCAATAACATAATTCAAACCTTCACTGCAGATATGCCAATGCAGCCTTCCCAAACAGAACCTAGACTACAAACAATTTCAGGCACATTCATAGTATACTCGCGGTAACCTATGAAAATAAGAACAAATAAATTGACAGTGTAACACTAATTTAAATTACCCCACTCTATTGGCTCTTGATCTTAGGTAAGCTTATGTAATACACTCAAAACTGTAGATTGATGCATTCAAATAAATATAATTATTAGAGAATAATTGAAATATCAAGTGCAAAAATATATCAAGTTACATATATACCACAAAGTATGAAAGAATTTTTTAAAAATTGAATAAAACTCGAATAGAAAGCATTACCTTGCTACCACGTTGAAAGAAGAAGAAGACCAGTAGATCTACTCGCTGACGCGGGTGATGTTGCTCCCCAAGAATTAACCTTACAGTTTCTACATTCTTAGCATCTCTAAAAGAAGAACGGTCTGTTTACACACAATCACCGAAGAGGAAGATCTTTGCCCCCACTGCGTTTCCAGGACGGGGTTGTGGACAGTTCACATGAGTGGAAATATTCACAAAGTACATAGACAATGAGGCGATCACAACGCGTAAAATGCTATTTCCAATCTGCATCAAAGAACCCCGCGTCTTTCATCTCCGAATAGTATGCCTCCTCCAAAAGCCAATCTTCTTCCTAAATTGTTTGTTGCCCCCAAATAGAACAACGATTAGTATAGAGGTGAGTCAAGTGACAGATGAAGCTCAAAGTGCATATAAGAATGTCATTCTTCATTGGGAAGAAAAAAAATTGATCATTGTACCTACCTGAAAGAAGTCGGCTAAAAACACGGCATATATAAGGGGAGATACAGTGAGTGGTAGCCAATTACACCCAAATCATTTAACCTGCACCGTTAGCCATTCATGCCACGTTAGATAATAGACACTTAGAAGCAATTTTAGATATGCTCGGATGTAAAATTCTAGAAATGAAATATGTGATACCAGAGACCAAAGCCAATCCCAAATCCAGCAAGCCAGGTGGTGTTGCTGGCCTAGCCCAGCTCTGCCACCCGTAGGAAGTGCATCAAAGGGATTAAAGAGATTGAAACAAATAAATGCACCTCTTATTTAGCATGTCAATCACCACCGAGTTGTGCCCTTAGCTATTCTTAATTTGAGAGTTTCTATATGAATTTGATGAAAAAAAATAGAAATGTACCGTAGCCGCCGGGCCAATGTTGAGAAAGATGAAGAATTGTTAATTGTACTCCTGCAACCACGACGTTCACCTTTACCTCTCCCTCAAGATGCGCTCTTCCTAAAGGTGTGCCCGTCATCTCTGTTTTGATTCTGGTCGATAGAGTACCCCCTCTCTTTTCCCTCTCCGATCTGTGCTGTGTGAAGCGCGGCTGCTAGAAGAAGCCTTCGACAATACCCTTCTTGTAATAGTTGTTTCCAATGGATGTACGAAGCTGGAAATCTTCTCCCACATCTCCATAGGACCAAACCCCCACAACCCTCTTAGTCTCAAAGCTGTACACTACGATTTTCTTGCACACAACCACATGAATATACAGAATCTGCAAATCCTCATTGAACCCAGAGGACCTTATGGAGTTCCCCACAGTCACTCTCACCCCCGTCTCCCTCGTCATTTCTGAAATTAAATCGTCCAGAACCACAAACCGACGCAATTTCCATAACGATTCATGGGTGTTGTTGCTGAACTCCCAGATTCGGAACCCGTGTTCATCCGGGTCACAAAGATTCAGTTTGCCCTCCGATTCCCATAGCGAGCGGTGGCAGGGATTGTGGTATGAATATGATGATCCATTGGGGTTTCTTGGGAGTGGCAAAACTGTGAATTCATCGCCGTCTTCATCAAAGATTAAGAGACAGAAGCACCTTATCAGATGTAATCTTGAGTTCATATAGATTGCAGGGCCAAAGCACTGTCCAAACACGAAGCCCTCTTCGGAAATCAGACCCGAATTCAAGAGCTTCCCCTGTTTCTGCATCCACTCCCAAGATTCAGACATGAAAACCATAGAGTTCACAGAAATGGAGAGGGGATTCACCTCGTTCCAGAAAAAGCCCACGACTTTGAATTGGGCGTTCTTCCTCGGGTCAAAGGCCAGTGCGACGAATGCGGGTCTGTACACGGAGTTCGAGGGAGGGAGGGCTATGGATTGGTCGGAAACCTGGGAATGTACGATGTAATTCCAAGTCTTTTTGTCGTCCACGGCGCCGTAGAGGATTAACCCATTGCATGAATCGATCAAGAAGGGGAATTTGTTCGGGGCGGAGGAGTCGACGGTGCAGAGCTCGGCGTTGTGGGGGTAGTGGAGCTTCAAGAAGACCGATTTTTGAGAGATTCCGGCGCCTCGGACCGGAGTCGGTGGTGGGCGGGTGGTGCAGCCGGACTCTGGCAATCAACTGCCACCATGATTTGGAAACGGTCTCCAGCTTCGCTAGGGATTTCAGGGGGACGAAAGAGAAGATGGTTTCGGGGATTTCGTCGCATAGATCTCCGAACTCTGTCGCCGGCGGGATGACGGCCATGGCGACTGCCTCTGCTTCTTTGTCCATTCCCCTTTCTTGATTTTTTTGGGTTTTTATTTTGAGTCGTTGCCCGTTGGGGAGAATTCTTTTTTATTTTTGAGGGTTCAGAAAGATCAAAGAATACGCATGTGTTTTTATTTTGGGATTACATAGATAAGTTTTCTAATTGTCCCTCTTAAAATACATATGCCAAATACATATTTTTATGAGTTTATACTTGGTTTTCTTTTTTAGAAGGTTTATTAATTTATAAAAGGTATTCAAACTATTCCTTTCGTTTAAAAATTATCTTTCCATTGTTAATTACGATGTTTGATTGAAATTATTTTCAGATGACTTTATATAAAAAATAGTGCGTAATTTAAATATAAGAACTACATATTAAAAAACAACATTAAAAGATTTACAAAATTAGAGTTAACATCATTATATTATTTTATTAAAGAGATACTGAAAGTAATTTAATACAATGAATAAAGTTTGACTCAGATAAGTGAATAGTAAACGTGAAAATAACTTTGGATGAAGTAAGTATGAAATTGGAATTGAGAAGAATAAAAACATGGAGCTCCTATTTTGATATTTTTTATGTTTTAATCTATTTATGGTGAATTTTTAATTGTTTTTATTTTGGCGTTATATTGAGGACTTTTCTTATTGTGGTCCTAAAATGCAAATGTTACATATAGATATGTTTACATTTTTCTTATGAATTTATAGTTAAATTTCTCTCTTCTTACAAGATGTAATACATATAATGAATTTATATATTGATATTAAAAACATACAATTGAGTAATTCTCGGTCTTCCACCCTCTTGTGGCAACAAAGATGGTATGTGATGACGACTGTGTCCTTTTTAGAGTAAACTACAGAGCTGCTCCACCATTGTTTTGAGATGCAAGACACGGTGTTAAACAAAATTTTTGTCGCTTCTGTAAATTATTTTCAATATAATATTTTTAATGAATTAATGAAAATATATGTAATGCATTCTTTAACATTATAGACATTAAAATCAAAGTAAAATAAATAATTTAGCATTTAATATTTGGTAGTGAAAATTTATATATAAAAATTTAAAAATTAACACCTCAAAGTATTTTTTTAATCTATATTTTTTGGAAAGAGTTTAGAGTATAGAACATTTTTGGTTTGGTTGCAACGGTTTTCATTATAATCTAGAACTAATATTATAAACCATATCTTTGTTTTCACTCGTAAAACAACAACATAAAGTTGACCATGACTGACCACGAGTGAACACTGGCTTGGTTAAAAAATTCTAACAAATGACAATGTTTGACCTTTACTTTTGTGAATAGTCATAGGAAAACATATAACTATTGAAAATTGTCTTCTCTAGAACTTCATGTGTAGTCATAGATCAAACGATACCAAATTCATTCTAGGTATTTAAGCCTTTTCCCTTACTGAATTTTCCAAAACCATAATTGCATTGATAACAGAATCAGTACCCCTTTTTTCAAAACTATTTTGTTGTTTGGGATTACCGAACAATTGATTTCATTCA